GAAGCCTCACCTAGAATCACACTTCTGCCCTCAAATCCTACATGAAACTTTTAAAACTCAAACTTACTAACTCAACAACAACCTGGGCAAAACATGAAAGCAAATGCAACTGGCCTAGGTGGCTCGTCCCCCACCCCCTCCCCCCCCTTCATTTCCTACACCAGCCACTGAGATCACTACACCCTTTTTGCAAAAGGGGAAAAGAGGCTCAGTGAAGCAGTAATGGTCGAGCCCAGTGTGTGATCAGAGAGGCAGGGTGGGCTCTGAATCTAATCTCCCATGTTGCCACTAGAAAGGATGCACCTACTCCAGCCTTATATTTCCATTTAAAAAGATTAGCAGACAATAGAAGAAAGCTTTGGGAATCAAAACAGTAATTTTTTAAACTCCCACTAGGTGAAAAGAAAAAGAAAAGGCATTGCCACCACAGGCATTCCATTCTCTGCTTTTCCTTTTCATTTGATTGGCCAGGCCAGCACTGCCCAGTCAGAGATAATGCTATTATTCCAAGGAGATAATGTATTCAGTCCTGCTGTGAGCAAAATAACAGGAACTGGTCACCCCTAGTTGACAGTAGTCACACCTAAAGCAACCAGAGGGCCCCTTCCCGCCCCTCCGGGGGCAGGCCCAGCGCCCCCAGAATCCACCGCACCTCGGCAGGAGTGGTCCATCTTGTTGAACTGAAAGTAGCCCACTTTGCACTGGCATCGTGCCACGCCATCCAGATCAGTGCAGATGGAGGTCTCTTTGTCACATTCCGGAGTCTTCCGCTTGCACAAACTGCCGGCTGGAATGGAAAGACGAGACAGCGAAGTCAAACATGACCTCCTCCACTTCCGGCCTGAAGCTGGGGGAACTTTCTTTTTAAAAAGGTGCTGAGAACAGTTTCAACAAGGCCCTAGGGTCCAACATCAGTCCTTTCAGAAGCTCTTTCCTCACAGCCTTCTGTCACTCCTGTCTCATGTCAGCCCCCCCGGACCTGTTTATGAAAAAGCTTACAGCATTTCCCCATTAAAAACACCCACACAGCCACAGGGTGAGAAAGTAAATGGAGACGAGACAGGTGCTGTCCCCGCCACCTGTGCAAACATGGTCCTCAGTGACATCCTCTAGAGATGCAGGTATGGCCTGCAGGGGAAAGTCAGCACAAGCCGGCCCCCCCCTCCACCCCCACCCTGTGCCCATCCACTCAGGAAGCCTTGAAGCAGCCGTCTGTAAGGTCCAGTGTGCCCTGCGGCAGGGATGCCAACAGGCTGGCTTTGAGGAGAGACGTGGCCAGTAACCCACTCGGCTGTGCATGTTATCTGACTCTCTCCCCACTACGTTGCTAGCTTCTCAGGGTCCATCCATCTCTGCAGCTTCAGCACCTTGCACACACTGTCCTCACAACAGTCTCAGCACACATGAGCTGAGGGTGCCCCTGGCCACCAGACTACCACCAAGGGGGAGGCGCAGAGAAGGTGCATCTCTCCCAGCCCTGCCAACGAGGGCCTTATTTCTTGTATGTGTATCCACCTGGCTTTGTCCAACCCTGCGTACGTGGCCATGTTCACCTCATGGGTGACAGAGAACCATTTCTCTGTTACCATAAAACATTCACTGTTGGACATACGGCCTTCCCCAAGGCTGTCCACAGCAGATTCCCTCTGAGGCGGTATATAGCAGATACACTGAGGTACACTTTATCCTCTCAGACAGGTCCAACAAAAGGACACAAGAACACATGGGGAACACAGAGATTAGAACAAAAATATGAAGTCAACTGGATAGATACTTACACCCATATGTAAGCGCAAGGCAAACTGGTTGCTGTTTTTTGGTGCTAAGAGCAAGTTCTGGTAGACAGAGCCACAGGAGAGCAATGTGCATATGGAGGGAGGGAGCCCCTGCCTCACAGATACTAATTTATTCAGAAACCAGATACCAGCTCTTAACACTGCAAACTGCCCCTGCCTCCGTGGGTCCTGGGATGTGAGCTGACAGCTGCGGCTGCCCGGCCCACATGGGGTCCTGGCTTCACCTCTTTTCTGGATCCTGACACTCTGGACTGGTGGGTAGGCTGATTATAGGGAAGTACGTTTAGGACACACTGTAGTGCTCGATGCTGAATTTCCTGTCTTTATCGGTGGAAGCTGGTGTGCTAAATCAAACCCTATGTGCGTGTGACAGAATTTCTTTTGTTTATTGTGAAAAGTTTGTATTTAAGGGGGGAAAATAGAAACTGGAAAACCTCACCAGGGAAACACTGCAAAGCTGGCATCAGAGAGGAACTAAAAGTCCCTTTTTTTTCTTTCTTTCTTTCTTTTTAAAAAAGATTTATTTATTTATGCATACAGGACTGGGGTACAGGCAGAGGTGCAGGGGTGGTGAGAGGATTCACCAGAGACAGTGGGGAGCAGAACAGGCAGATCAATGAAGTACACTGCTGAAGGGAGCAGCGGGCAGGTCAGGAGAGGTCTGCCGTGCCATGTAGATCTCCTCGGGGCAGGCGGGGATCGAACTCATGCGGAGGTGGCTTAAGCTTCTTAGTGCTGCGCTTTAACCTGCTGCACCACCAGAGAGGGCCCACAGTCCCTTTTCTAAGGCTGTGCTAGTCCTCAAGCCTTAATATAAAGAAATAGTTCCAGGGCAAAAAAGTGCCAGGCCAGCACTAATGTTGGCTAGCAGCCAGGCTGAGAGGGGTCTGGCCTGGCAAGGTATTTTCTCTAAGGCGATGTCACACTTTCCTTCGTCCTGCCCATTAACCCAGCATGGTGGCAAAGACCACTTCCTGGCTGAAGCAACCTTCCCCAGCCCAGGAGCAGGCTCACAGAAAGCCAGGCATGCCAGGCCTGCCTCTGCGCACTGCTGGAAGTTCTTAAAGAACATGCTATCATAAACCCATCCAATGGATAATTCCATTTTCATTTGAAGCCTGGCGATGTGATTTTCCCATATCCACAATTCCCATAGTCTTTCCTGGGCATGACATCCGCCAAACAATGAGAATTTCTGTATATCTAAGGCCAAGACACTCCCTGGGGGATTTCCAAAGACTCTAAACCTCTGGAGATGTGGAAGCTACATTCCCTTGAAAGATGAGGAAGCGGCTATTTTGTGAATTGAAGGGGAAAACCTGCCTTTTGAATAGCAGTGTCCAGAGTAGTCCCATGCCCAGGATAACTGGTATGTTGGAAAGCCCAAACTGACAACTCCTGGCTGCAAAGCCCACCTTGCCAGCCTCAGGAAGGCGAGAGGCCATGCTGGCATGTTAGTAAAAGCAGAAGACCTGAGACGCAAGCCTGTTTCGGCTGAGAATCTCAGAGCCATCTTTGTTTGAGACAGCTCTGAGAGGAAATGTTAAGGGAACTCTGCAGTCTTATAGACTCCACCCCCTATTCCAGCTTTCTGGACCCTACACACCACTCCAGTGATTGAAAACTACAACTCCCAACAGTACCAGGGAGAGAACTGCAGGACACCAGGGCAGAGCTAGCAGGAATGGATGCTGGAACATTTTGGGGGGATCTCTCGCTTTGGCGCTGGTTTGCTTGGGAAGCAGCTCTCCAGACCGCGTACCGTGTGACTTGGTGTGTTCAGTCAGCCTAGCCATAAGATATTCCACTTACTTTGTACCCCGTTCTCTTTCCCTGGGTTGTTTCCTATTCCTTTCCCTTTTTGTAAATAAACCTGTTATTGACCCTTTTGTGTGTACCTGCAGTTGTGAGCGCGCGGGTGAGGCCCCACAGACAGGCGGCCCAGTCCACTCTGGGCTACCCTGTAACAGAAAGGGTAGGACAAGCACACATGGAGCTGGGAAGTGAGGGAGATCTCTCCCTACTTGCTTCTCCCTTTCGTTGTGAGTCAAATGTTGCTCTAAAAAAATAAGGTCTTAAGGAAAACAAAACAAAAAATAAATAAAAATGAGGCCTCGGCGAGGAAGACAGAGCTTGCTCTAGGCCATCTCCATGCAGTCAGAGGAGTGGGGAACAACTCTGAGCAGGATCTTACAAATCCAAGTATCTGCTTACTGGTTGTAAGCCATGAAATGCAATTACTGGGGACAAAAAAAAAAAAAAAAGAAAAGAAAGAAAGAAACCTGGTACAATGCTGATTACAGAGGGAGTACTCCATAAGTACTCGGTGAGTTTGAAAGGTCATCTTCCTACTTCATTGGATAGAAAGAAAAAAAAAATCAAGGAAGCAAGAGAAACGAAAGAAAACTGAAACTTGCCTTAAAGTTTAGTGCATAACATAACTGGGAACCCATTTTTAACCAATTACCCCATAATGTTGAAAGATAACTTCAAATCCATCAAGTTTAGCATTTTTCCCAAAAAATACCTGGCCCAAAGTGGCTGCATTCGCCACATGCGAGGTTAACCCCCTCCTCCCATGCTCTGCCAGGCAGAGGCCCACAGAGAGAGGACCAGCGTCCAGCCCTCACAAAGCCCTGACCACCGGCTGTCCCAGAGCACCTGCTAGCACCCAGAGCACCGAATCTCACCCCACAGCTACGTCCAGCGACTGAACGCCACAGCGGGTGGTTTACAGAGATTCAACATCCTTCGCCAGCCCAAACTGTGTAATGAGAGGAGTTACCAGAGCCCCGTTGGATCACACGTGAGACAGCATGGGGGCATGCCCCCCCTTGGAGGAAGCTCTCCTGATCCCAGTGCAGCATCCCAACCCAGGGCCGAACCCTCCCCTCTGGAACCTAAATGTGCCCTATGGCTAATCTCTTTCTTCAGTAGCCTCACATCAGATACACCATGGAAGTTTGGGTAAAACTGATAGAGCAAAGGCAAGAAAAGAGAAAACATCGTTAACAGCACTGTGAGCAGGCTGCCCATGTTGATCTAGTCTTGTTTCTGTATATCTATGATTTGCAAACAAATGCCAGTAATAGTTGCTCTTTTTTTTCCTGCCTTAGTGATGCATCACAGTGGTTCTGGGTCACTGACAAGCATGTGCGTTCGGTGTGTGAACTTCTGTCTCCGCATAGAGAGGAGGAACTTTTTAAGGGAAATAAAGAAGAGTGATTTTTGCTTCATGACATCAGCTCTTACCTCTCTCCCCACACCAGGGTTGCATGGCAGAGGCAGAAGGGGCACTCTGCTAAGGGCAGGTGACTTTGAGCCACGTGTGTGCATGCACACGCAGGCCTGTTACCTAACATCCACTTCCAAGAGGCTGGTTCCGTGACTTCTTACATTTCTTTCCCAGGTCTGTACCTAACCGTACTGGTGGCGGAGTCTGCTCTTACCTCCCAAGATCCACCGCTGAGACCCCAAGAGCTGGCAGACCTCAGCAGAGGAGCGGCAGGAGTTGACACACTTCTGCATCTTGTCAGCCAGGTCAAACAGCGTCACATTGGAGGTCAGAGCAAAAGTGGTTTGCAGTGACATGACTGCGGCACTAGACTCTCTGTAGGCAAAGTGCATAGGGTTTGAATTGTCTTAAAATGACAGCTGGACCCTAGACTTTGGGAAGATAAATGCCATCTCCATCGTCCAGAGAGGGGGTGGGAGAGCATGAAGGCCTGGTGACCCAGCCCTAGACCACCCTGTGATATGGCCACAGCAGGGCCCCATTTTGACACTATCCACCCCTGATGGAGTATTTTCCCCTTTCTATGGACAAGCTCACAAGCAAATATAATTTTTTTACTTACCTTGAAGCATCAACTGTGGATCGGGTATAACCAGGTAACTTTGAAAAACACATGTTTAACTGCAAGGAAGAAGAAATTTGTTGTTACCTGTAAATCAGACCAAAGCCTTGGACCTAGAACCAATTTCCTATTTTTCAGAGTAAAAGAGGCATTTTTCCTCCTATCAAGTTAGCAGCAGGAGTCTTTACACAGGAGTGATGTTCCTTTTTACTCCTCTCTTAAATGCCTTTCTGTTCTTATTCTGTCATTCCATAAATACAAAGGGAGAGAGGCAGACAGTAAATCAGTGGGGGAAAATCTTGGCAGGAAATGTTCAGAACAGCACCCTTGGATGCAAAACATCTTCAAAGGAGCAGATCTCTTGTAAGACCCAGGGTTTCAAAAAACTCAGAGGAAACTGTTTATCTGCACTTAGCATAGGGAACCAGCCTCACTGAAAAGGCCTGGTTCCTTTCAGCTACCCAGGTCTGGTAGGCTTTGCCTAACCCCTCATAATCCAAAATGGGTTGACCTGACTCAAAGGCAGGTCCTCTTTAAAAAAACCCTCCATGGGCTATTATATTTTGTGGGTCAAGAGCCCTTTTGTTGAGAGCAAATTAACAGTGACTCTCCTGGTGTTTGCTTCGTGTGCTCAGAAAAAAGAGGGATTCCCTCCAGGGCATAAAGTGTCATGTTTGACACCCCCACCCCACTCCACAGCAAGGACTGGGGATTGTATTTATGCAATAGAGAGTGTGAATGCCCTGATGGGTGCAGACCCACGGGACCTCAAAGCCCAAGAGAGATATCTCTCACTCTTCAGAAGATGGATTCATTCAGTCATGGGACATTGTCAACCTCTTTGTTTGACACTGCTCTATACTCCAACAAGCAATTACCGTATCATTATCGTTATTGTTACTACTGTTACTTAAATATTTTTCCCCAGGTAAAAAGAGAAGTGTTCCCATTTCAGAACAGAATGGCATTGTGGGAAAGTTTGTTTGAGTGGCTTCTCTAGTCTTTGCCTAAACATGCTCTCTTTCTTGGGGCTAGGGATTACATCACTAAAAATTATGTTAATACTGGACAAAAATGAACAGGTCAGAGAAGTGACTGAGTCTGTAATGGGAAGGAGTGATGGCCCTTGGCCATTGACCCTTGGGAGGTAACCTATGAATCTGTGGAATATCTGCCCGATAAAAATGTCTTTGTTTTGGGCCCTCCCTGGTGGCGCAGCGGGTTAAAGCACTGCACTGAGAAGCTTAAGCCACCTCCGCATGAGTTCGATCCCCGCCTGCCCCGGAGGAGATCCACATGGCACGGCAGACCTCTCCTGACCCACCCCCTGTTCCCCTCAGCAGTGTACTTCATCGATCTGCCTGTTCTGCCCCCCACTCTGTCCCTGGTGAATTCTCTCACCTTCTGCATCTCTGGCCTGTACCCTGTTCTGTATGAATGAATAAATAAATCTTTAAAAAAAAAAGTCTTTGTTTATCTGAAGGCCTTGGGCCATTCCAGATCATCCATCAATGTGACTTATAGTGAGGACTTTGGGTTACAAGGTATCAGCTCACGCTCTAGAAGGGCTGGAGACAAATCAGCAAGATGGGTGGTCAACCACGTATAGTGATGAACTCCTAATAAAAATCTAGATACCCAAGGCTCAGGGAGCTTCCCTGGCTGGTGCCAAGCCCCGACCATGTACACATTGTTGCTGAAAGGAAGTAGCACTATCGGGGACTCCACGGGGAGGGCCAATTAGAAGCACAGGAATGCTCCTGGACTCTGCTTCATATCTCTTTCCTTGGTTGGTGATAACCTGGATCCCTTCCCTGTAGTAAAGTATAAACTGCAGTAAAGTGTAGCTACTTTTCAGTGAAACCTGTGAGTCCTTTTAGTGGTCATCAAATGTGAGGATGGTTGAAGAGACCTGCAAGCATGTAATTGGTGGAGTGAAGTGAGAGGGTCTCTAATGGACTGATTGCATCTATTCTGTATGAACTTGGGAAAAGTCTGTCTTCCAGATCCTGCCAGTTTTCCATTTGTAAAAATGCTGGCAATGCCTCTTAACAGTAGTAAGGCATCTGGCAAAGCGCATGTCACAGAACACAGAGAAATTGGAATCCTTACACAAATAAAAGCCATAGTTGCATTGCATCCTACAGTTCTTGCCTAATATTCTTATCCATAAAAAACAAATAAAGTCAAACCTAAATCCATTAATCTCTACAACTTATATTAATGGCAAGTTTCAATTTTGTGAACACCAAATTTTAAACTCAGGTAGCAGTTGAGAAGCAAAATTTACTATCTTGCTTTATTTTCATTTATTTGATTCTTCCTTTTTATGTCCTTCCTCCTTTCCTTCCTTCTTCCTGACAAAAAGTAGGCTAAAAGGTAAAGAAAAATGAAAGGTCCCTAGATAACCTATGAACTCTCAACCATGGATAATCAGGATTAACAGCAGTAACTTTAGCATTCCCTTGAGGAAACAGAACATTATTCTGCCGAGTTCTGAAGTACAGAAAGGAAGTCACACACCAGATAGGACAGTAGTATTTCCTGGGTGTTTTCTCTTCATAACAGCTCTTCTGGATGTACGTCATCTATGTATCTGTGGCTGAGTCCACATGCTGGAAAATGCACTGATAAGGACTGCATGTTAGAGCACTCAGAGAAATCCTTCTACTGGATACCACTTGTTCTCTTTTCCCTTCTTTTTTTTGAGAGGCTTTTTATTTTAGTATGAAATGATCAATAGAAATGATCAATCCAGGAGATACAGCTGGTCCCCATGGAAATCTGTTCTAGAAAACAAAGGAACAGTGGGAACATGCCTTTCAAGAAACTTACCATTTTAGTGATCTCACTTTCAACTTCATGAAGAGCTGAGTGCTTTTCCATGGTGGTATTTAGAAAACTTTTCTTTAATTTTAACTCTGTCATGAAGGTTCTAACTGAAAGTGAAAACATAACCTGTTAGATGACACAATGAACAGGTCAACAGGACACCAGAACATATGTGTGTAAATCTCTGGAGCACCCAGCTGTGTGCTTCCTCTTGGGACAATCTTGGTTTCTTCCTCTCTCCTTGAGAGTGAAGATGACCTCTTCTTCTCCTGGGCTCCTCTCTAGTGAAGACAGCACCTACAGAAGGCTCAGACTGTGTAAACCTTTGGGTGAGAGACTCCCAGGAGCCTTCTGTGTAGGTGTGAGCACTGTTGAAAGGAGGAATTTCTAGACATCTCTATCATGGACTTCCTCCCATATAGTAGATTTTCAATAAAGCTGAGAGATGAGCAGGCCTAAATGGCATCCTTTGAGGAGGGGGGGAAAGGCAGGTATGAGTCTAGATCAAAAAAAACCCACCTGTCAAGCCCTATAAGGACTTAGATAGGGAAAGCTCTCACTCTCTAGACCTTCCATGGCACTAATGAGTCCTCAATTTCAAGAGCATGCCTTAGTTTCCTCTTCTCCTTAGAGTCGTTCCCGTCTAAACCCACTGCTCCAAGAAATGGCTGGTTTATTTATCATTGATAAAAGAAACTTCAAAATTAGTTAACTTCTCAAGCTCATTCAGTCCCTAAGGGCTAAAATGAACATTTAAAGTCACATGTGCCCATCTTCCAAGTTATTTTCCCCTTCATTCTCAGTCCCTTGAAAAGCCTAATTTCTAAGGACAACTCAGCAGCAAGAGAAAGGCCTCTCATGTGAGGGGCCCCCACAACGGGGTTTGCAGACTCCACCATTACAAGCTGTGATAAGAACAAGCCCATTCAAGACATTGTTGGGTTCAGACTTGAAAGAAAGCCCCGTTTTCAGGGCCTGTTTCACTCATAAAATAAATTCTAGTTATCGTCAATTTGTGCTGATTGGGCCTGAGGGGAATGGAACTCACAAATGGACAGGCACCCAGAAATTAGTATAACCTGCTTTATATCTGGTTCTTATCTTCCCTTATATTAAATTCTCAATCTTTCCCTTTGGACAGGAAAAAAAGTAAGCCAAAACACAGAAACCCACGGAGCTTCTCTTTCACAGAAAGCTTGTGCTGAATTAAGAAAAAGACCCAACAAATGAGCCAGGGAAAACATTTAACATCTTATACTTACTGTCTAAAGCCCTTAATCCTTATTTAACATCTTTTTGCTTGTTCTACAGTTCAGTGAAGCCAGCTGCTCAGGACTCTTTCTGAGCAGCAGGGAGCTCTTTGAAACTGTTCTTGGCCAAATGAAAGCATTTCAGCATGCTCTAATTTGCATGTTCCTCTGATGTTTATGAACAATGAAGCTAAATGACTTGAAAAGGGAAAGATGATTAACACAATAGAACTGCCCTCCCCCATGGAGTGGTTGTGGGAGCTCCAGCGGCAGCTTCCGGAATAGTCACCCCACTGCCTCATGCTTTCCTCTCACAGGCTTCTACCCAGACTGTGTAGACAAGTACATGCTGTCAACGTTAAGGACGTGGCCCTCTTCTGAGTCATAGCAGTCACTGGGCCTCTGCTTTCAGTGTGGACAGGAAGACAACATCACAGCCCATACTCTCCCCAGGCACAGGCACATCTTCCGGCCTGCAGTGATGTCACCTGGCTTTTAGGCAATTTTACTTCGCATCTAACTGTTGATTTATAGAAGTTATCTAAATGACTTTCTTAAACATCCATAGTTATTATTTTATACTCCCAGCAGTTTGTTTTTATTCAGTGGTGGTCCAAGAGGCTAAGATGAAAGAATACTGCCCATCTGGAGAGCTCTACTTGAGTAAATTATTTTATTTGATCTTCACAATTACCCTGAGTGGGAAGTAAAGCTGGTGGTTGCTCAGAGGCCTGTGCTGTTTGTTGGTGGGGGAAGTCAGGAATTTGAGTTCTTGGACAAGTGTTCTTTCTAACCCTGCTTCAAAACAAAATCATTTCCAGCTCTTCCATTCTTAACCTGGAAACTCCTGGAGAATTGCTTTCAGGGGGTTGCTAAATGGAATAGGTTACCCAAAAGCAAATAAACCACTAGAATAAGAGGAATTTTTCATTTTGACTGATATCTATGTTCCTAGATGTTCCTGGCTTTAGTAATACCTTTGTTAGGATTCTTGTATTTTAAATAACTTTTAAAATGCTACCATTCTTTCAGTAGAGTACAAATGTTCTTAAAACATCTAATGATTCCACTAAGTCTCTGGGTAACAGGAATTCATGCAAGCCACACTTACAAAGGATACAGACATTTGTTCTCTTAAAAAATATTTACTGCATTCTATTACCACATTCTGTTAAAAAACAGAACCACAATGGGAGATAAGAAAATTCAAAATTGAGTCACTTTGCCTGCCATCTTCCTTTATGCAGCTTAGATAAATGTCATCATTAATATTCAAAACCTTATTTAAATGAGGATGGCAGTCTGGAGAGTACTGAACACAAGTGCACTATAGGACCCATAACGTGTTATATTTTCTCTTGGTTTCCTTCTCGGGGAGCACTGAGGGCTGGGTGTTCCAAGGTGAAGGAGGGCTATAGTGGGGGCAGGGGAGGGGCAGGTGGGGGGGGAGGATGTATGCCCGGAACAATCTTCCTGCCTCCTCCTCTGTGTGGCTTTACAAGCTGGTTGCCTTTTTGAGGCTGACATAACTCTGTTCTTCACATGTCAAGTCTTCAACAAACTCTGTCCTGTGTGCAAGGAAGCTCTGATGATGAGCATCAAATTGTGTGATGGAAGGAGGTGCAGGCTGGAAAATCTGTCTGGCATCTAGCGGTTGCATTAGCTTGTCCACTGGGCACCTTGTCAAGGCCTTAGTTTTCATTTGAGTTGTTGCTTTTTTTAACCTATAAAATGGAGATTATGTCTAAAACTGATGAGCTTCATGAATCTATCAAATGAGGGAACAAAATGTGACAAATTATATGGCATAATTATACAGCGGCTTTGCAAAATAGTATCTGCCTGTGGATAAGAACAAGAAGATCCTTTTAAAAAATGTTTGAATATGGTAGGATAATCAGGGATTTATTACCTTTCTCCCCCCGCCAACTAAAAATTTTTATCTATATTTATGTATGTATTTATTTATTTAGTTTGACTATATGGTTATAGTATAATTTTGATATGTGTTTGTCCTCTCCCCTAACTGCAGAGTGGAAGGATTAGGCAAATAATGTTAGGCACACAGAACAGCGTATTTATGTAGTGATTAACATGCTTGTATACTTGGAATAACACTCAAAATGTGAAGACATAAAGTGTGTACAAATACTCTACGATTCCAACTCCTTAAATATATAATGCATACAATAAAGTGCTTCTCTCCGAGTGGCTGAATCATAGTTACCATCTTCTACATCTTTCCATATTCTTTACGTCTGTGCCTTGGATGAATATTAATTTCCATTAGATGTTATTGTGTAAAATGTACGGCAGTGCCAAAAAATTCTAAGATAGGCTAATACCCTTACCCAAATTGCATATTCCTTTTTCCAACTGGTACCCAACTGGGCACTGGCAGATAAAGGATCCCTGAGTATTGTTGCACACGGCCAGGGGCGGACAGGGGTTCAGGAGGCATTCATTCACATCTGTGGAGGACAGAAAACAAGGGCATGCAACATCTGTAGCAGACAGCAACCCATGAGTCAGTGCAGGAAGCACTCACGAAGGGCTGAAGGCTTCCAAGTGGTGGAGCCAGAGAGGAGGAGGCTGCTTGGCCCTCCAAGGGCTGCCAGTTTATGGCAGTGGGCAGCTCATCTGCACCAAACTGTGAGTACAAGGTAGGGTTTGGAAGTACAGACAAGCAGATTTTAATGGGCAGAAAAAATTAAGAACTGTTTCAAATAACATCTGGATTAAAACAGAGGCTTGGATAAAAGACATGGGTTGGGAATGAGGGAATTCTATAGGGAGATAGTGCCTCAAGGGTGGGAAGGGCAGTTGGTTCAATGTGGCCAGAGTGTAGGGCCCACAGAATGGAGCCAGACCATGCAGGTATCAGAATGGCTGTCTGACAACACATAACAATGCTAACGCTCAAGGAAGCAGGGTGTTAATTAAAAATCTTACTCCCTACATTTGGGAGGAAGAGGAATGTACTGCCTATCTCAGTGTCTATTGCCATGCAGACTGCCAAAAATCACACTTCCTCTTACCCACACTGCAGTCATCCCCTTGCCAGGAAGATGAGCACATGCAACGATACCCACGGCTGGTGGGGTCCACAAGGCATTTCCCATCATGGAGACAGGGGTTAGTGGCACAGCTGTTAACTAAAAACACATTCCAGGAATAAAGCAGTTAATCACACAGGAAACATAAAGGCAGCTTCAGGTCAATATTTAATTTTTCCAGCTAATATTTGATTTCTGCTTATTTCTGTTGACTTGCCATGAATAGTCACACTACCAAAATAGCGTTTGTTCCCAAAAGGTGCAGAAGAGACGTGGTGGGGCTGGACGCCAGTATTAGCTTGTGGACATAACCATATGTTGGACAATTGGAACCCTGAACACAAGAAGTGGTTCAAATTCAAATGCTGCCCATAGGTCATACAGTTCAGGGTGGAAGACATCGCTTCTGTGATACTGAGACAAGCCTACTTGAATCAATGAAAATTTAAAACACATATTAAGAAGAATAAAGGATCCCTCATCAACTATTCTCCCTGCTTCAAGATTTCCCCTTATCCAAAAATCTCCAAGTGTAGCTGGGCCTCCGTATATTGTGCAGTCACTTAGAAAAACAACTGGAGTTGAGCATTACAAAGCCCTCTCTTCATATAATGTAACAATGAGCCCTTCACAGACACCCTACGGATGTGCTGGCTTCACTGCTGTCTCTGCTCCGGCTCCCAAGGCCCACACTCCCTGTTCTGGTCTGTATAGCTGGCACTGTCAAGCTCCAAATCTATAATAACTGCTTAATAAGTAAGGCGTGTGTGTGTGTGTGTATGTATATGTGTGTGTGTGTGTGTGTATATATATATATATATATATATATAGAGAGAGAGAGAGAGAGAGAGATATATATAGATATATATATATATATAGGTCACACAGTTCAGGGTTGATTATAAGATAAGGGGAAAATTTTGCAGCAGGAAGAATGGTTGATCAGGGATCCTTTATTCTGTTTAATATCTGTTTTAAATTTTCATTGATTCAAGTAGGCTTTGTCAGTATCACAGAAGCAACATCATCCACCCTGAACTGTGTGGCATTTGAATTTGAACCACTTCTTGTGTTTAGGAATCCAGTTGTCTAATAGATATATATAGAAAGGTTGAAACTAATCACATTCATTAACTGCATCTTCTCTGAGAAAATCAGCAAAATGAGAAAAGGAAAGTAGAAGTCAAGAATTCAAAAACCAAAAGAACAAGTACAGGAGACCTAAAGATGGTATTGGTATTCCTCACTGCTACTTTAGTACACCAGCGTGAACAATGTCCATATGTCCAAATACTCCACCCCAGGACAACGTCACAGAGGACGTGTTGACAGCCAGTAATGGTGCTCCCAGTACTCGCTACACCTGCTGCCGTGGGCTGGCAGGGAGGCAGGTGTGTGAATTATGTGCTATCTGGAATTGGGCTGTTTTTGATCTCTGGAAATGAGGCCTTCTGACCCCTCAGGTCAGGTCCCCAAACTTCTAGGAAAAGGATCAACCTTCCATTTTCCTAGGAAAAATGATCGAGCTCTCAGATCACTGACACAAAGGGGTGACCTATGCATCCTGACACAGTGGGGGGCTGGGCATGGAGGTGGATTACAACCCTCCAGCCCCAGGCTGGTCATGACTGACTGAGCTCCCACTTCAGTTGCTACAGAGCACACCTCTTCTTTCCTTCTTCCTTAATACCCCAGTCTCCATACCCCCTTCAGCAACGGCAGTTCCCTATCCGAGTGCACAAGCCAGATGCACAACGCTGAACATTATATCAAAAGATACATCCTCCTACTTTCTTCTATCTTTCCTCAAATGATAATCACATGATGCCTTTCTTTTCCTTGTACCAGAAGCTCCGAGGTTAGAAAGACAGCCTCGAGCACAATGCACGGAGCCGTGGTTCAGGTAGCGCTATGAGAAATCAGTCATCAGCTTCTCACTGAACATGCCCCCCACCCAGCTAGTAACATGATCTTAGGGAGACAAAGGAGCCCAGGCTGTCTCTGAAGAGCCAACTGACTGACTTGGAAACTCGGGGCTCTGAGCTGGGAGCTGATCCCTCTGTATCTCAGAAGACCTCCTTCTTGGCTCAGGTTCCATACCCTCCTACCCTGCATCACTGCAGCTCTGGCCTCAGAAGCATTAAAGGCATGCTTGTGAAGTCCCTAACACTGCAGGCCAGTACAAGCCACAGTTGCACTGTGTATTAAAGTTGCATACCATCAATGGTGTCCTCTCCTCTTACCTCAGGAGAATTATGCAATTCAGAGGTTTAAAAAAAAAAAAAATCAGGTCTACTGTGACACAATTTTATGTTTTATGTGCTTCAACAGGAAGCATTTGTGGTCACAAAACAGACACAGCACTACTGCAGAGCCCACCACACCCCAGCCCCATGCAGCACAGCGTGCTCAGGCCACTGTGTTCTACCTGAGGCTGGAGACGACAAAGCCACCGGTGACTGTGTGCTGCTCTGAGACGGAGGAGGCGACATTTCAGCCGTAGAGACATCTGTGGTTTGGAAAGGAGACGTCCTGAGGAAGTGTGACGCTGAACTGTAGTCCTCTCCCGTGCCGGGCTCAGTGGTCAACTCTCTTGCTGATGTGGGCACACTGATCAGGGGGGTCAATTGGGTGGTAGCATCTTGAGGCTCTGGGTTCCCTCTGGTAGTAGCAGCAACTTCTCTTGGGCTCTGTGACACTAGAATTTCAGGACTGGAAGGCAGAGGTGGTTTTCCTGATGTAGGCTGTGCTGTGGTGGGAGCTGCAGTTGGACCTGCTGTGCTCGATGGGGGGGCGGCGGTGGGCCCGGGAAGAGGAGAGGGCTTGAGAGTGGAGGTTTTCAAACTTGGATATGTTTGGGCTAAGCTGGCGCTTGTGATTGGGAGGGTGGACCCAGGAGAGAACTCTGTTGACGCTGGAGGCAAAGGGGTCCCTGAAGTGGAGCTCACTGGTACAGCTCTGGTGGCTTCGGTGGGCAGAGACTCCACGTTTGGTAGCTTTGAATCCGTAAGGATTTTCTCGTGGTGTGAGCTGCTCTGGGGATGTGAGCCTGCCGTTTGACTACTGGGGAGCATGGCCACAGATGCTGCTGCTGTGGATACACGAACTGAAGTCACAGGCGTGTCCCTTGCCTTGGGCAGAACCGGGGTAGAAAGTGACGATGGCCAGACTGTTTGGGAAGCAGACAGAGAGGCAGGGGTCGACGCAGTCATGGAGACTGGAGAAGGTGGCGATGAGGATGACAAAGTGGGGGTACCGGGGGTTGGCTTTTGCGGGTGAGTGGTGGCCCTGGTGGACGGCCATGCTGAGGTCGGCTGGTAGGACTGTGACACAGAGGGCAGGGGCAGTGGGGACCCTGAAGAGGACGAGTTGCCAACCGCTCCAGCATCAGCGTCCAGAAGAACCAGGGTGCCTGCCACGTTCATGGTGGGTGTATAGGACGGAGGGTGGGCTGTGTGCACAGCCAGTGACTCTGTGGCAGGCTGAGCATATCCCCCCGCACTGGGTGAGACTTTCTTTCTTCCCGTCGGGACCTGAGAAGAGGAAGAATGGTCTGAATGTGAAAAGTTTGAGATCTGAACAGAAGAAGTAGAACTCTCCCGTATGTCTGAGGACGAGCTGTTGTCTGTAATGGACAGTAAGGCCCGTTCTCCCTTGGTGAACGTAGATGACACGTAGGTGTGGTCTGTGAGGTCGCTGGAAGTCCTCTGTACAGTGTCGGTGCCACTCACTTGATCTCGGCTGACGCCAGTGACTGCAAAGGAAAAAACGGAGGTCAGGCCAACTAAGCCAGTAACAGAGCTCCTGAACACTTCCCGTGTCCTACGCCTGGATGCCAGGGATGAGACGCTTCCATGGAGAGGTGGCTTTCAGTGGCAGTCCTGCAGAATGGGAAGGGCTACTCTGGCGGGGGACGCAAGGATGGGCAGTGAAAGTGATCCAAGTGCGGTCAGGGGCAGAGACTAGGAAGTAGGGCCAAATTCCCTCCCCAGGACTTTCTCATCAAGCAAATTGGCATCTGAAAAGCAATTAAGACCCCAAACAGAACAAGTTCTGCCTAAATAGGAAAGTGGAAAGCCTAGTTTTCCATTCTGTAGAATACACTGGTATGACCAGTCACACATGAATTGACACGGGGCCTGTCAATTTTTTAAAACATTAGCTGTTTGCTTTAAGACATTAGTGAGAAATGGCATTGTGGTTGGAAGACAGAGGTGGCCTTGGCTTTTGTTTTGTTTCTTTTGAAATGCATGTATTTGTTCCTGTTTTGTTTGTTTGTTTAGACGCTTGAGCTTGAGCACCAAGAATTCCCTTGGACATCCCCTCCTCCACATCAGAGCCAGCCCCCAGGCACGAGTGGCTATAGGCTATAGCCCTTCAGTCTCCTTAATTTCCAGCATCTTGGTAGGTAACATCACAAATGCTTCAGGCAAGGGTGTGATGTGTGTGTGTGTGTGTGTGTGTGTTTGGTGAGGGGGGGCAGAAAGGAGCCAGTGGGAAAACTCAAGAGTTCTCACCAAGAGCTTATAAGGTACTTTGTGGAGCTTAATCAATCTGGGCCTGGAAGCCAACTGACAGACTAGCCAAGGGAATGTGGAAATATCCTACTGTCACCTCCAAGGATTTGTGAGACAGGCAGGGAGCCTGCCTCCAAGTGGGCATCACCAGTCACTGTCATGTCCCCATGCAGCGTGGCACTCTCTGTTTCTGGGTGCACCGCGGAGGGCCCCTCTCCCCTGAAAGTCGTGCTCCCATTGGTGAGAGACCGTAGCGTGCGCTCTCCGCTTCCAGTGACCGTAGCTGAAGTGTGTGTGCCCAGGGCTCGAGCACCCAGAGTCCCCCTGGATGTCCCCTCCTCCACATCAGGGCCGGGCCCCAGCGCAGGGCCATCTTCAGTGGCTGCAGGAAGATGGAAAAGGGGGGTGACGGTAAACACAGGGCAGAGCAGTGGTCTCAGGAGTAAGTCTCCCTTCCTGGGGTCTGTTAACCAGAACGTGTGCCTAACTCTCTCAGGGTCTTGATCTGAAACTCACAACGTGGAAAACCAATGTGAGGGTGTTGTTCTTGCAAACTGTATCAGTGACAGAAACCTTGAGAATCACGTGGATCAGTGCCTCTGCTCAGGTGGCCTTGATTTATGGGAACATTTATTTCCCCTGTGAACAGAATCAATACCATATTTCTGCGTTGTGATATATAATAAATAGAGTTCATGTCAGGGAAAAATTGGTGGTGGCTATGGAGGTGGTGAATGTAGGCAAAACACTAACAATGCTTTGGGGCGATAGACCTCTGACAAGGCCCAGGAGGGAGGCCCACATTACTCTGAAGACTTTTTTTTTAAAGATTTTATTTATTTGTGCACACAAGAACTGGGGAATAGGCCAGAGGTGTGGGGATGAGAGGATTCAACAGAGACAGTGGGGAGCAATACAGGAAGATTGACTGAAACACTGCTGAGGGAGCAGGGGGAGAGACAGGAGAGACAGGAGAGACAGGAGAGTTCTGCTGCACCATGTGGGTCACCTCCCTGGCCGTGAATCAAACTCATGCTGCAGTGGGTGTGGACAGCTTCACAGTGTTGTGCTTTAACCCACTGTGCCACCAGGGAGGGTCTACTCTGAAATCTTTTAACACCTGGTAGGACCAGTAATACATGAATTGACACAGGGCCTGTCATTCTTTTAAAATATTAGCTCTTTGCTTTAATACATCAGTGAGAAATGGCATTTTAGTCGGCAGCCAGAGGTGGGCCTGGCTTTTGTTTTGTCTTATTTCTTTTGAAATGCATGTATTTATTCCCGTTTTGTTTGTTTGTTTGGTGAGTATAGAGTAGGAGCAGTTTAGACATGATTAAATATCTTTTTCTTTCTTGGGTATATGTTTTATTTTATAAGCTTAAATAATCTAATCTTAGATTAATAGACTAGCAAATAAATACTTCTTTTCAGAAATGATGGAAATGAGATCTAATTCCTTTTGGTGTAAATTCTTCATAATCTGGCTCTGTGAAAGTTTCCTTCCCTAGTTTTATGCCGATTCCTCCATCAGACTACCTCTTGATCCCCTATGGACACATCTTGATGTAAAACGGATATCAAGCTGAGTGTTAGGTAAGTATTGGATAACGACAGGAATGAGCATGGCACAGGGAATCTCACTGACCTAGAGCAGCACTGAGAAAGCCAGGACTCGACAGGGATGATTTATCCCTGACGGAAGGGCTTAATGGACCCACAGAAAGACATCTAGAAGCACTAGCCTCCACGCAAAGAGAAGAAGACCTGGGATGGGAAGACTGTAACTCTCTAGTCAACAAAACTCAGACAAACAGCATCATGAGTGAAGAATTGTCACCTGAACCCGAAGGAATGAACGGACCAAGAACACTAAAAGGTTCAATGCAGACTCAGTCAGCTTTGGATGATTCAGAGAAAACAATAATGAGCATTAGATTAAGCCACAGTGAGGTGGTTTCAGGACTAAGGCTACCCCTTATCCAACTCATAACCGCACGCCAAGATCCACGCACATGAAATCACAGTTTCCTCATAAAACAGCTGAGCATTCACTGCAGGTTGAGGGATGCTGGAGAGATGGAAAAGCTACACTCCTGGTCTGAGGAGGCAGAAATTTTGAGTGTATCAATGGTGAGGGATGAAAATGATTCCTTTTGTTTGGGAGTAAGATAATGTGTTTTCCATGCACTGACACAGTCCTCCATCACGTGTGATACACTTTCATGGAAAGCACATCCTTTCCCACATCACATGAGTGGTAATACACACGCATTAGGGTTAGTAATTAGGATGTTCGTATGGGGAAACAGCCATTATTATCAGTGATAGAGGTAAGTATAGGAAAGAATTTAAGCCTATTGTAAGTTTAAATGCTATTTTAATGCATTTTTGCTTTAGTCATTACATACATGATGTTGACAAAGCTACTGAAAACTGCATTTAAAAATTACCCAGAAATATTAAAAAAGAAATAGCAGAAGAAAAGTTTTCTAGAATTTATAAACTGGACTTTATCAACAGTATCAATTGAGGCAGGTATGGTGGCAAAAGGTGGCCACACGGAATGGATGTATGTGGCAGAGAAGTACCTGAGCTGTGTGTGAGAGAGGCAGGTAGCCACAGCAGCTCCTTGGAGACATACCAGAAAAAAATCTCTGGGTATCCTGGTTTTTCTGTACCAATCCCCTACAACAGCTCAGGAATAATGAAATGAAAGGGGTCCAGGGAGCTACTTCATCACTGCATAACCTTAATATGCCACTGGCCATCAGAAGCCCGGTGAGCCCTCCCCCTCTGTGGCCAGCCCTATGAAGTGAAAACTCACTAAAGCGCTCACCACGTGGTGCTGAGAAATCCAGGCTTTCTGAGGAAGAGGAAGACAGAAACCGGGCTGACGGTTCAGAGGAACTCCTTGCGCGCAGCACTGTGTCACTCCCTCTGGACTGCGGGGCAGAGGCTGAGAACTGGGTCCAAACTGAAGCATTCACAACTTCAGGAGGCGAAGTAGAGCTTCCTGTTACATCTGCAAATGTCTCGCTCTCCGTCAGGAGCCAGGGTGCTGTGTTCTCTCCGCCTCTCACCGAAGGGACTGTCCTGGACCCTGCCTCTGTCTGTGACTCATCACTTCTGCTTTCCACATTAGAGCTGCTGACAAGCTGGCGTCCACTCGAGGCTGTGAGGGGCCGCAGAAAACCAGCCATGAAGTGAAAGAGATCCCTCTTCAGCCAGGAGGCCTGAGATCCTCCTCTAAGGAAGGATTCCCTTGGCAAGGACCTTGCACACCCCTTACTATGTACGTGCAACCTGCCGTGCATTTTCATATTTAAATGATTATTTCAAAACTCTCAAATGTCTCCCAGAAAACAATACTAAAAATAAAAATGGGTGACATCTTCAAACAACTGGCAACAACAAATGTTGGCGAGGATGTGGAGAAAAAGGAACTCTCCTGCATTGCTGGTGGGAATGCAAACTAGTACAACCATTATGGAAAACTGTTTGGAGGTTCCTCAAACTGCTAAACATGGAGCTTCCCTATGACCCAGCAATCCCACTCCTAGGTATCTACCCAAAAGACACAAAAACACTGATTGAAAAAGATACTTGTACCCCCATGTTTATTGCTGCTTTATTTACAATTGGAAAAACATGGAAGCAGCCCAAATGCCCAAAAGTAGATGACTGGATTAGAAAGATGTGGTACATATATACAATGGAATATTACTCAGCAACCAAAAAAGAGAAACACATGTCTTTTGCAGCAACTTGGATGGAGCTGGAAAAGATCATGCTTAGTGAGATAAGCCAGAAAGAGAAAGAAAAATACCGGATGGTTTCACTCATAGCAGGAGTATAATGGACCAGGCGAGAAAATAACAAAAATAATGAACAACCATAGACCAGAGACATTCTGTGGGGGTGGAGTGGGGAATGGGATCAAAAACGGGGGTGGGGGTGGAGGGAGGGAAATGCATGGGACTATGGTGATTTCACACGGGTGATTTGGTGATGGGAAACCGGTGGGGATTACAATGGAGATGAAAAAAAAAAATGTGCAAAATGATGTAAAAATAAACTTTAAAAAAAAAAATAAAAATAAAAATGGGTGAAGGGAAAGCTTTTAAACAGTGAGTACAAAGTAGCAGAGTAACTTATAGTGACTTGAGTGTTTTATTCTCTTTCCTCGAAGAAGTGGTGATGGGGGTGAGTTGTTATGTCCAAAAATATGAGGTGCTAAATACACTACTGAATCGGAGCAATTTTCCTTTTTCTCTTTTAAAGATCTATCCATCCATGCATACAAGAACTGGGGTATAGGCCAGAGGTGCAGAGAGGTGAGAGGACCCACTAGAGACAGAGTGGGGAGCAGAACAGGCAGATATACCAAAATATGCTGCTGAGGGGAGCAGCGGGAGGGTCAAGAGAGGTCTGCCATGCCATGCAGATCACCTCCCTGGCCTCGCCCCTCTGGCTGGGGACCGAACTCGTGCTGCAGTGGCTGCAGACAGTCTCATAGTGCCACACTTTAACCCGCTGCGCACCAAGGAGGTCCCCTGAATCAGAGCAGGTTTCTAAAACAGTAAAGATTATTTTAACTTCAGAGTACAGCAAACACACTATCCACTACAGGGAGATAGCAAACGATAAATTTGGGGGACACATGTTTATCTGCATAATTTATTTGACCAGGTGTTCTGTAGGAAAAATAACTGGAGCCAAATTTAATGAGCAGAAAAGCTCTTGCTTTGAAGACCATGCAGCTGAGTGAAAAGATGAAATCAGCGGTGGGAAAGCTGACACCAGGTCTCGCCTCTGCTGTGAGAGAGCTCGAGGACTGTGTGTCATTCCTTAAATTCTCAGGGCCTCAGTTTTCGCATCTATCAGAAAGCAGGAGGTATAATGTCTGGCCAGTGAAATTCACAATATACTCGTAAGGATGGAAAGCAATTTGCAATAATGATCTACACCAGATAAAGAAGATCAGCCACCTAGCAACACCCTTCAAATGATCTTGAAGCAATTCCTTAAGAAAATTCAACAAGTTTTAAATGTCCATGAAAGATCAAACAAAGGCTGAATACTTACTTGGCGAATCATTTTGCCAAAATCCCACTGAGACCTCGGAAGATGCAAGGCCAAATGCATTTTCTGTGGATGGCTCGATGAATTTCCCACCTTCCGTATTACTGATGGTTCCACTGTTTCTTCTCAGTTCTGCCTCGGAGGGTGAAGCATGGACGGATGCTGAGGCCATGGCAATTTTGGAGTCCTCAGGGAAAGCTTCAGTCTTGTTTAGAGGCCCCAGACTGACAGTTCCTGGGACACCATCAGGGAACGTGGTGGCGACATGTGCTCCCACTGTCTGCCTGACGGAGGGGCCTTGGAGAGCAGCGGTGTTTAATTCTCCTACATTTCCAGCTGCTAAAATGGAAGAAAAGATGCTTCAAGACTATGCAGGATATTAGGAAAATCAGGACGTAGCTAGATGTACACACTGTTTCTCAGCTTCTGGTAGATGAGTCTAGATAACATGGACTATGCTGACACATGACAGCCTCTTTCATTCTCTCTCACCTCATAGGGCTAAATGGAGTAGGGATGAGCTCCTCACCAAGCACAATGAAAGCTTCTCCTCAAGCATCTATACCTACGTAATGAAAGGCTTCAAGCTGTTGATGATCACCCAGAAATAGGAAGAAAAGGTTTATTATATATGATTTCCTGAAGACTTCATCCTATGTGCAATTGTGACTAAAAGCACAAATAAATATTAAATATAGTAAAGGGAGAGAGCACAGGAGACAAAGTGGGTCCTCCTGTTCTGGCACAAGCCACCGTAGCAGCCCTACACTTAGGGCAAAGCCTGCAGCTCTGGCAGCTGGGCTGCCACGGAGATGCTGCCACCCACAGAAGCTGGCCCAGCCGCTTCAGTGCGAGTTTGAGCCCCGCTCCGGAGGTGACCACACGGCGTGGCAGACCTCTCCTGACCCGCCCGCTGCTCCCCTCAGCAGTGTGCTTCATCCATCTGCCTGTTCTGCTCCCCACTCTGTCTCGGGTGAAGCCTCTCACTGCCCCTGCACCTCTGGCCTGTACCCCAGTTCTGTATGCATAGATAAATAAATTTTTTTTTTTAAAAAAGCACAAACAAGAGGATTTTGGGTATGAAAAAGAAAGCCTGGTAGAGATATGCCCCAAATCCTAATTCAATGCCTTCGTTTCTCAAACCTAACTTCACCATTCCAGCAAATGAATGGTCACAGAAAAATCACACAAAAAATCAGAAATGCTGAAAGTCACAAAAAGAAAACAGCTGTTTTCTCTGCCCCTAAACTTGGTGGGACATTACTTCATCATCTCACCCTCCTCATCATTAATGACAGTTGCCATTTACCCACCTGTGACAATGTGCAGTACTTATATGTCCCTTCCTACACTGTGCTTCGTAAGTAGTTCAGATACATGATCTCACTTAGTTCTCACAGTACAGTTATGGAGTACCTCAATAATAGGAGGAAATGTTTGGTTGAACTAATCTACAATCACTACTGTACTATTAAATAGTGCGTGCGTAAACATCTAGGAGGAATTTTCCCTGTGTCTAAAAAATAGGCCAACACTATCAATTATGTAGTAATTACCCTTTCTTGCTCATTTCAGGGAAGAAGCTACCATTCAAAAATGGAAGGTCATGCATTTGGGACCATGTATTTGGGAGTAGAAAGTCATGTCCCCTAATTTTTTGTAACAGGAGTGCAAGGAATGCCTATCTACCTAGTAAAAATATCTGAGTTACCTTCCCATCACAACATAGCATACTGGAACATTAAGTATGCCTCAAATGCTCAACCTTAGCTTGACTGCTATCTAGAACTTGCCAAAAACTAGCTGAAGCAGCTGATATTTAAGGAAGATATGCTAAATCTACAATCTTCTGAGTTATTTATGCTTTCCTTCACAAAGTGAAATCACCGCAAAGCAATTTACCCAGACCACATTAGCTCAGCTGCCCACACACTTTCTTGAGTTGAGACCCATTATTATACCCTCAACTCCTATTAAAAATCTATATACGATATCACCTTTTAAAGAACAGTAGCACAATTTCTATAAGACAGCAATTGAAGACATTTTCTATTATAAGTCTCAGCATTCCTTATATAAATATTCCTCTTGGAATTCACTGCCCCAAAGTACTTATGCTATGGATAAAATTGTGCTCACTTCATCTGACAACAATCTCATGCCCCACCCGGTTTCCCTCTGTGCCCTGGTTTCCAGGAAGCTCAGTACTAAATTTAGTGCTCAATTGTAGGTTCTCTCACACAATTCAACATACACATATCTCTTTCCGCCTTCATAAATGAACTTTTTCCTGTTAGTTGCTCTACTTACTTTTCTCTCTACTGATCAAATAATACATGTTCGGTATGGAAAATAGGGCAAGTAAAGAAAGATGCAGGGTGGCAAGAAAAATAATTTCAACTGGCTTCTAGTCTCTTTTTAAGAATTCAATTTAGCTGTTTGGGCCTGGACCCCCTTTAAAGAATACATTTATTGGGATCTCCCTGGTGCCACAAGGGTTAAAGTCTCAGTGTTAGCAAGCAACTGCCAGTTACTACAGTATGTGTTCCATGTGGCACAGCAGGTCACCTGCTGCTCCCCTCAGCAGTGTATTTCAGTCCATTTGACTGTTCTGCTCCCCACTCTGTCTCTGGTGAATCTTCTCACTCCCCAAGCCTCTGGCCACCCCCAGTTCTTGCGTTTCTAAATAAATAAGATCTTTTAAAAATGTATAAAAATGAAAAATAATACATTCATTGGCACACACGGTACTTTGGGAAGCAGGTGACGCCTGACCGTCTGTCCTTGGATGTGCTTCTAGGTAACAGCAGAGTGAGGTGTGGAAGAAGGCACAGACTCTAAAGGCTGAATGCACTGGGAATAGCAGGTCCTACCTAGAACCACAAAGGATCCTTGGTATTATCCAATCTCTTCACGTCTCAAATCAGGAGCTCCACTCCCCCTGGGAAGGCTCATAAGGAGGAGAATCGCTCACCTGACTGGTCTGTGACAGAGCTGTCACGGGGTCACATTGATCAGTGGATGGTCAGGCCAACTGTCGCAAGGGCTCGCCGCCCACCCTTTTGCTCCTATTCACAAAGAGCCCTCCGGGCCTGCCTCTGGCAAGTCTTGGCGGCTCTCCCAGTGCTCTGTCTCAGTGGCAGAGTTCCTGAACCCTCGGTGAGAACAGGATGACATCCCAAGACTTACATTTAAGGGGGAGGAGGAGTTCTGCTGGGTAGCAGATACTAACCCAGCCTTAAAAAAGAAACTTTTTTCAGGATCTCCCTGGTGGTGCAACAGGTTAAAACACCACAGGTTAAAAGCTCTCCGAAGCTACTGCTGCATGAGTTCAATCCCCGGACAGGGAGCTGACCCACATGGCTCAGCAGACCTCTCCTGACCCGCCAGCTGCTCTCCTCAGCAGTGTACTTCGTCGATCCACCTATTCTGCTCCCTGCTCTGTCTCTGGTGAGGCCTCTCACTGTCCCTGCATGTCTGGTCTCTACCCCAGTTCTGTATGCATAAATAAATCTTTAAAACATGTCCCCTCTCCAGCCCCATGAGGAAGAGGGAAGCCTGGCAGGATGGATCCACACATTTCTGATTACCTGGCTATCCTCCCTTTTCTCAGCACCCAAAACATTCCAAAATCTGAGAGGGAGATGGGATTACACCTTACACAGAACACTCAGTTCACTAAGAAGGAGGGAATGCTCAGTGAAAGATTCAAGGAATTGGAAGGAGAGCATGTAACTCTCCACAAATTAAAAGTATAAGGTGGTTCTAAAAGGATGAACGCTCAAAGAATTTGAGCCAGTTTTTCTTGTACTGCTGAAAAATATAGGTGACAATAGAGTCAAGTCCAATAAAGCTGGAAACAAGCTGGTTTTCAAATGTAATACCATAGTGAGCTGAATTCAAATTATAAATATTAAATGATGCTGACCAGAATCAAAGTATAGCTTCCTAGAAAATGCTTTCTTTCCACCATTTAGAGAAGCTGGTTATAAATCACTGAGCCACAGAATTTTGGAGCTGGAAAGTACTGGAAGTATCGCAGCCTTTACCTAAGCTAACCAATGTTTAAGAATAAACTTTAAAAGCGATCTCCTAGAAACATAAATCATAAATTGTATCCATACCCAGTCAGTGGGAAGCTGTATACAGAATATATGGAAGAGGAATTGCTGCTTTAAATAGGCATTACCAAAAGGACCTCTGGGCTCAGTTTTTTGCTTTCATGACATAAACTCAAACTCCTAGCCTTGCAAAGTACTTCTAAAAACCTCTGACCTAGAAAAGTTTAAAATGGAAATTTCTGAAGCTGCATAACCTGTATTTCCCAAGAATATTTGAGTCCTCTGCACTCTGCTCCCTGTGATTGGGGTTCAGAGCACATTCAGCACACAGCCTCAGAAGAGAGAAGGTGGGCAGGGTTTCCAACATTCTCTGGCAGGAGGCTGGATGACCCGTCTGATGCTTGGCACATACCAACCCCCACTATTTATCAACAGCACCTTTTTCGGGGTTGTGGGGGGCCAGAGAGACTACACACAGTATGTGTCCTCAAGGGGAATCCAGTCTGTCTGGGTAGATAGGCATTAGGTCACGTGATGAATTGCACAGAGGATCGGAGTTGACGAAAAGCTTCGTAAAGATGGAGTAGCTGAGTGGGAACTGAGGTGATGGCTGGAAACTGGAATGGTTTCCAGAACTCACCACTGCAGTGTTGCAAACACCTATGCCGTCTGGCAATTTTTTAAACAATGCCTGGAAATTGTACACGTATGTTATCTTTGCCACTGAAGGGAATACTTGTGCAGTAATGAAGAAACAGATTCCAAATGGAATGCCATCATGCTTACCATTTCATTCACCTAGCGGAGGCCTCCAGTGAAGACACCCCACTCTGGTCTTTGTTGTAGATGTGTGTGAGGGAAAGGGGAGAGGCAGGGTTGCTGGGCAGAAAGGCCCAGAGCAGGCACCAGACCAACTATTATTTTCCTCCTTATACAGTTAGAGAAAACTTTTAAATAATTTAAAGATGAACTTTAACACTGAGTAAAATTGTACAAATGCTACTTTTACCCCAAATGCATAATGTCTTTTCCCCTGAGCACCTCTACCCAGTAACCTGCCAACATATGGAAGCAGCTAAGCACACACACGTGTTTATTTCTATTGGAGGGCTCCTCTGGGCCAACAGTACTCACATGAGGCAGGGGAGGAAGTCCTGGAAAAATGGGCTCCCGAGAGCTCTGTTCCCAAGGAGTTGCTCTTCCTGGAGTCTGTGGTCTTGTCTCCCATCTCCAAAGCAGGAGAGGACTGGCTCATAACTGAAGTGGCAGCCACATGGGCGTGCAAGGGCGCTTCTTCCGGGAGCCCCAACCCCCGCACCAGGGAGTCCCGGGCTGTTCCGTTCTCCGCTGGAGAAGAGACAGTTCTAACTTCTGATCCTGAACTGCCGGACGGCAGGCGAGGCCTCCCCAGAGCTGAAAGGAGAAGGCGACAGTGAAAATCGCCTCCCAGCATGTAACCTTTCCGTGGGCTCAGCTGTGACTTGGATAAAAGACAAACATGAGAAGAAATTAGGAGCAACTGCTCCCCCTATGCAAAATGAACTCCTGAATGAGGGATGACAAACTAAGACAAAGACTGCCTGTAGATCCCAGAACTAGCTTCCACTCTGTGGTAACACTCTCACAAAAGGAGCACACTGAAGCTACCCTGGACTCAGCAACGAGTCATCCAACCGTCACTCCATTCCACTGCATTGTCCCAGAATCTACTTAAATTCAACATAAACAAACATTCCACAATCTGAAGGACGGACAAAACCAGGCAGCACGATGTGTGGGCTGCCTCGGCTCTGTAGTCTCCACTCACGGGAACACACCAAACTGTCACACACCCTCCACCGCCCGCTCCCGACCGGGGCATTCTTGATGATGGCTTTCAATCCCCCTCTGGAAGACTCCTATGTCAGTCCCTTCTTCTCAACCCCCAAGGGCACTGGGCCTGACCTTAGCACCTCGTGGCTACATTTCTGGTCAGCCTGGGTGGTACTTCTGAGCCCAGGTTCCCTGCACCCCACCTACCACCCCAGATAACTTATACCTGCCTGCCCAGTGGATCCTCCCCAAACTGCATTTAATCACGTCATCGCCTTGTTCAAAAGCCTTCAGTGACCATTCCCACCAGCCCAGATCTAATCTGCCTGGTTTCCAAAGCCGTCCATGATTGTCCCTAGCCCTCCATACAAGCTCCTCTCCTCTGTGTGCCCTCCCCCAAGGCAGGCTGCTGGCCTTTCTGCCCCACAAAGAGGCTTCTCTCTTCTGTGTATCTTCACTCACATGCTCTGAGCATCCCATTCCTCAGCCGCCCCGCCCCCACAGACTTAGGCTCAAATCCCAGTTCTGAAACCTGTTAGCTGTTTGATGTATACACACAGGAATCATTCGTTTCTCTGAGCTTCAGTTTCCAAATTCCTGAAATGAAAATCATACGGTCTCATTGGCTTTCTGTTAGGTCTCAGAGACCAGACATGCTGGTATGTAGGAGGTGGCTGATCAGTTGTTCGTCTCCCTTATCTTCCCTTCCTCAATCCAATCTTGCTCATCTAGCGACAGTCCCTTCTTGAAATCCTTTGTAAAAGTGGCAAACCACTGAGACATGCAACAGAAGCAAGAACAACCATGTGAGCCACACAATACAATACACTGCAAAACCCATAGCCACTCTTCCCAGCAGATCGGGTACGTCTGAGATTGCAGTAAGTGTCAGCGTTACAGGACATTATCTGGAATCAGACTTGGTTTGTCCACGGACTGCAAATTCCACAGAACTGGCCTGGCCTATCTATCTACAAGTCTACATCCTCATCCAGTCTGTACTTAACAACTCAAGTAACCACAGCATGCCCAGATAGAGATTGCAGCACAGACTGGACATCCCCAGTCCAGGACTCTTGAGGGGGGATAACATGGCTCAGGGTGGAGACAGGGTGTGGAGGGGAGACGAGAAATTTTGTTTTCCGGGACTGGATACACATGAATGAAGTGAATAAACTCACCCGAGGTGCTGCTCTGGGACATCAGAAGTGTTGCTGTCTCAGGGCCATCCAGGGAAATGGTGAAATTTGTTCTCCTTGAAGAGTCATTTCTGCTTCCAGCATTTGCTGTTTCAGTTTGTAGAGAGAAGTTTCCTGGAGCATCTGAAGAAGTATGGTTCTTTCTGAAGGTCTGAACAAGCACAACTTCTTTGGAGGTCACGGTTGAAAAGTTCACTTGGTTCTGATCAAAAGTGATGCTTTCTATGTAGGGCTCACTGTTATTTTGTGACCAATGGCCTCTCATAGCAGCTAAAACAGTAAGAAAATGGGCCAGTGAGAACTTGCTGGCTTCTGAAAAGTAAATCTTCAGAAAAGTCAGCATAAGCAAATACATTGTTGAAAAATGGATTCAAGCAAAATAATTTCACATTATTTTTCCCACAGCAACTACTCTTGCAGCCCATTAAGAGAAATTATGAAGCAACAATCTAGATAGGATTAAATTTACTTGATAGAAAGAGATCAACACAGGGCTCCAGGAAAAGTACTTGCACCCTGGTGTCTGGGATGAGGTCAAAGGTCAGGTAAAAAAGAGGGTCAGGTGCATTTTTAAAGCACCAAGACTGTAAACTAGGCTTTCTGTTGGTGGAGGGTAAAAGTTGCCAGCTCTTAATCCTCACACCAATTCTTACAGATATGAAGTGGGGCATGCACATTTTGGGGCAAAAAAAGTGAAGGGTTGGCAATGTTACTAAAAGCTTAGAAATGTAAGTAGGTTATAATGATTTCATTTTCTTTAAATTTATCCTAAGGAATTATTAAGAATGTGGATAAAGATTTTGCTGCACATTCATTAGTGTATCATTGTTCATAATAGCCAAAAAAGAAAAAAAAAAAAGATAGGGAAGGGGAAAGTAAGAATAGGAAGGAGGGAAGGGGGGTGGAGAAAGGGAGGAAGGAAGTAAGGGAAAGAAATAGAATTGAAAAGAACCTAAAAATCCAACAGCCAGAGATCAATGAAATCAGTTGCAGTATACCCATATGAAAGTGATCTATATTTTTTTATTTTTACTT